TTTTTTTTAAATATATTAACTATATAGATAGCAATGCATTAAATTGTTGATTTTTCTAATTAAAAAGTAAAAAAAAATGTATTTAAAAACAGATAGTCATATACATAATGGTTACTGTAAAAAGGAGAAAGCGATGTATATATATATCCTTATATCTCCCCTTAGCTCATAAATACGCCTCTGATTAATATATAATTATATATTATTAACGTTTATATAGGTAATGACTTATTTTCGTGTATAAAGTGAATACAATTGTAACAATAAGTTTAAGTTTAAAATAATATGTTTAATTAAAATAAATCAGTAAGCAGCAGAGCCACATCACTGTTTCCTTTTAGCTATTTGTATTAAAGAAATATTCTTTGTAAAACGATAAATAATGAATAATAGCATAGGTCATTATAATACAATAATACTATACTTATACTACAAGTCTATAAGTGAGTGTTGAAATTTGAAACTATTACTAAAAGCCACATGTTTAACATTAACTACGTGTATATACACACATATATATTATAATTGTATTCCTTTAGCTTCATTAGAAGGGCCTTTAATAAGAGTGTTGAAAATTTCTTATTAACTCACTGAAATTCATATTAAATTAAATCTGAATTTTATCACATCAATCTGACTCTATAAAATATCTCTAATAACCGAGTTTGGACTAGAAGTGTACAAAAACTACATATTATATATTTTAACGGACTCATCTTACAGTGAGTAAACTGTAAGACTCAACTTACTATAGTCTCTTTTTACGAGGAAAATTCGTCAAAAGCATATACCAAAATTTAAAAAATAACCAAATGAAATGGGGGAAGTAGTTAAAGAATTGATAATATTGAAATAAAATTTAAGGAACCGAGTTAATTGTCATACGTAATCAGAATTCTTTAATTTAAAAATGTTATCCTACTTACAATAAGGTAAAAAAATTAAGGGCACAAGGTAGATTGGGTTAGATCGTATTAATAGTAATCAATTTTTAATTTCCCTTATAATGATACCATTCGATGGTGCTTCGAGACTTATTATTGAGTGTTGCGGAGAACCGTTCGGTAAAAGATAGGTTTCAGTTAGATAATACGTATTATAAAAATTATAAAGATAAAATATCGGATGTACTGGTTAAACAATTATACAGACAATATTTTCTCTATTGGACATTTTTCTAAAATATACTACTACCCTTTTATCCTATATTTCTTCTTCAAATAATAAAATTGTATACGCATTCGTAAGTGTCTCGTGTTTCAGTTATTGTGCACCGTGTCCACGATCCTCGTACGCAACCCGGAACTCACGCTGAAAGAATTGAATTTGGACAATCTAGTATCCGAGGCGAACAAAATGTTCTGCAAGGCGAGTTATTAATAACGTTAAAAATTTCAAGTTTGTGTTATTGTAACGTAACGAAAGTCACATGGGCATTTTTTAATAAATATCCACTGTGTGTCCACTTCTTCTACCTTGAAGAAGCTTCATGAGCAGATAAACCAAACCTACCATTTAACTTTTGGACTTTCTCCAGTTATCCCTCTTCTCACCAGTGAGAGGATTTTCTATGTATAAAATATAATATATTTTTACAAAATGAATTAATTTAATAATTTACCATTTATTATATTGTGGACACACAGTAAGCAAAATCATATTCTATATTGGAAGTCTAATTGACTTTACTATGCGAAGAAAAAATTTCCTTAAAAAATGCCATGAGAATCGTCTAACTGATTTTCTTCGTTTCTTCGCTTTCAGGACAATCAGATGGCTCGCACTAGCGACCTTTCGGCTTTTATCTCGTCGAAGTATTCAATCACTACTGGATATCTGGCCAGGGCTGTGGTTAATCATATACTGACTGGAGGCCAATTGGAAACGTCGGCTGTTGACATCGGGGAGAATGCCGAAAATGACGACAAATGCAAAGTGTCTTGATGACAATAGAGATTGGAGCTGGCACCGACTTTTCATCCCATCCTAGTCATCGTAATCATCATATATATAATGTTTAATGAGGGAACTACGAAAAAAAAAAAAAACCATTAACCGAGTAAACATTTTTATGTATATAATATATATATTATATAATTCGATATTTTTAAATAAAAATCGTTTTATTTTCGAATAAATAATATTCCGCCTCATGTCGTTTATTAAATTTAAATATTTTAGCTAATTAAAAAACAATTTAAAAAAAATATCTGTTGTGGTTTAATAAAAAAACATGAAATCTATTTCATAGTGGTAATTTCACTGAATTGGAAGCCATGGGATAGTATTACGTTTCGTTTTAAAACTGACGGGTAATTTGATTAAGGATACGCTTTATGGAGGATTTAAAAAAAAAAATCTGATATTGCTGACGGGTGTGTCACTGTTTTAGGTAGCAAGTCATTAAGGTTGAACACATAGAGTTATTTGTTTTATATCTATATACAACGATAAACCATTACTAACGAAAAACGATTCTGAGCGAAGTTTGGTTACACATGTTTTGAAATTCCGTAATTTCTATGATTTTCGTTTAAATTTAAATTTAAAAACTTATAAAACAATTTTTTATTTGACACAAAGTACAATCTGGTTTTAAATTTTCAAGGAGGTATTCTGTTCGTCTCAAACAAATGTATTTACATAAATCAAATAATAAAACTAAAAAAGTTCGAAAACATCAAATGCCTATAAATCACTCAAAAATCACCAAATATGTTAAAAAAGTTACCAAGTCTATAAAAGTAGAATATAAGAATTTTGCTAGAACTTTAGATTTATACGATTACTTCAAACCGTATTACAACAAAAAAAAAAAAACCAAAAAGTAGATTCTGATGGGATTTTTAATTGACTTACTCAGGGAGGTACTTTTCTAAATGAATACTGTTAATTGTTTTAAGTGGTACTTGAATTTAGAATTATTAAGCTAATAATATATCATATGAAAAAAAAAGTCGTTTTTACTAATTAGTAAAGAATATAGCTTCACAGTTAACAACAAGAAATTGTCTATACGTATGAAACAGTCGATATACATCCCTCATAAAAGGTAAATATTAATATTAACCTTAATATTTAAATTAGAATACTCAGACAACTTTTTGTTCAAATTTCGATTACATTACGTCAACAATTTCGAGAAATTATCTGATGTATAATTTGTTTCAAAACATGTAAGTTCTTTTTTAAAAAACCAAAATTATTATTATCACTATACTATACTCCTTAAATGTTGTAAATAATTTAAGTAGACATACGAAAATATCGTCGCTTACTGCACTTAAAAATTCCAATAATCAGAATTTGAATTTTTGCATAATTTAATCATAAAAATGAGATGAGCATGTTTAAAAAACAATTTATATTATATTAAAAATAATTATTCTTAAAAAATGTCCTTATTCCCCTCCCAATGGCAAAATCATTTTACCGGCATTACCATGAGTTATCAAGAGAACAACATTGAAATTAACCGATATATTGGTTGAAACCTGGGGTCTCTATTTAAAGTGCATTTAAGAACACGAACATTCGTGTTTTTATGAAAAAGTAAATTTTATTAAGTTCATGTACCCGTGAAGATATTCTGTATAATATACGAACATCGTAGACATTAATACACGGGTAGATGAACTTTTAATATACGTGTACATGAACTTCAAAAACACGTATAAATAAAATAATTTTATTATTTAAAGTACAGACTACATGTACACGTATACATCAATACACGTACCACTAAGCCGAGAGCTCTATAGTTAAAATCCTGATCTTTAATACTTTTTCCATAACCCAGAGCTATAATATTTGGTCAAATATCGGTTTTATTACTTTTTAAAACCGATACCACCGATATTATTTATTTGTATCGTACATTTGTTCGATTTTTTTATGCGTTTTTCTAAGTCAAATTAAAACTACAAAGAATATTAAATAATTATATCTTTAATGCATCAACTAAATGGAGATTTGAAGATAGATTTCTAATAAAGAAGTTGTTTTTTCTGACACGAAAAATAAAATAAACATGCATCATAATGAAACTAATAAATGCCTTGTTACACTTAGTATCTAATAAATAATTACTTGTCGGTCAATGTTTTTCTGGACATATTTTAACATAATACTAGTGTTTAGTATATTACTCGGATTATAATTTATATGAATGTAGACCAACTTGCCTTTACATAATTCACAATATGGGTAAGACCACGGTTGTGGAGGTTATTTTATGAAGTATACAGGATTTAGGGTGATATAGTAAATATTATGCGAGAACGACGATAACTGATTGAAAACAAAAAAAGATTCCAAGTGGGGCTCAATAAACTTACTGTAGGTAAGATTATAATATTTTGTCGTGATTTTCCCCTTGTAATCAACGTGGAAAAACTGTTATGAATTTAAAAACGTTATTAAAACAAATAACATTGGACGAAAAAATCACATCTTTTGAGGTAAGACATAAAAAATCTAGAGCATTTTTAATTTTTACCAAACAAAAGAGTGTATTCCAAGAAAAAAAACAGTACCTATAGTATAACTAGTATCTTCGCCGCTACACACGGAGAGTTCAAAAACGGTTCTAATGTTAGTATCGGTTTCTATTAATTTTACACTGGGTAGGTGTAATAGTAGTTTTTAATTAATACTGTTTTGTTCGAAAAATAATTTTTGATGTTGATATTTTAAGTTTTCACATTTTTAGAACTTGAGATCAGCAAAAGAAAACCAACTTTTAGCTATGAATGCTGGAAATTATTATAGACAAAGTGAATTTTAAAAAATTGTATATCATACAATACATACAGTATATATACAACATTGATGTAGTATCCTTAAACTTATGTATAAATAAGCCAATGAAAATAACACGATGTTGAAATTTGTTTGGCAGTTTATTTTTATAATTTTAAATACATAGGTTTTTCGAGTTTGTACTACTGATGTTTTTTCTAGCCGTTACTTTAATTCCGTGATACTTGCAGGCTACACATTTAACATTGATAAATATCATCATTAACTGGAATCTTATCTTCTTCGCATAATAATTCTAAACATGTGTCTAGTGTACCCCTGAACGTTTCTTGTGTATCGTTCGGTTTAACTTCGGCTAAGTACATCTTTAGTCTTTGTATTTCTCGCACCTGGTCTTCGTACAATTGTTTAAGCTCAAGCTTTTCTTGAATTTTCAACATCGATTTCCTATCGTGAAATTTCGCTTCGTTCGACCTTTGTATGCGTTCAGCCGCGAGCTTTTGTATCGCTAACTCATGGTCCTGTTTGGTTTGCTTGATTTCTCGTTGCAGGGATTCTTCCAAAGCTTTCAATCCTTTTATAGTTTTTATATTATCTTGTGACTTGTTCACTTGTTGATTATTATCCATTTGCACATCATGGAGTACCGTAATGTTTAACTCTAGTTTTATGCTCGATGACTTGACCTGACCTTTAAGGAAATTGATTTCTTCGGCAAACTGGCATCTTTGCTTTTCACATTCTACTTGAAGAGCGGTGATTTGTTTTTTTAGCTTTATCAATTCTTCATTTTGCATTTCACAATCTCTTTGTTTGCAATCAAAAAGTTGTTCGTATTTCACGCATTCGGTACATGTTTCATTGAATTGGTCTTGTATAGTTACCAACTCGGATTGCAACGAACTCACGATCGTTTCATTTTCGATTTTTATTTCGCCTTTTGAACACTGTAAACCGTCGTTTTTCACCTTTTCCACTGTTATTTTTTTTTCCAGCTCAGTGCTTTGGGCACATTTTTCGTCAATCGATTTTTTTACACAAGCAATTGCTTGGTCCCTATCTGTTATTTCCAATTCTATTTGCTGCTCCTTTACCTGCAAATCATGTATGGTCCCGGTGAGACACGCAAGTTCTTTTTCTTGTCTTTCGATTTCATCTTTGAGAGTCGAGCAAACAGTATTCAGACTCGATACTGCAAATTTCAAATCATATAATTTCTCAGACAATTGCTTAACATCAAACCGAAAACAATCGTTTTCCTCGTAAAATATTTTCAATTGTTCGCGTACAAACTCGTACTTAAGTGTCAGTGCGTCATATACATCGATCAGCTCGTTAAAAACACATGTTTGTTTGTCTTTTACTGAATCCAATAATCCAAGTCCGACTTCTGTTTTTCTTTGGTACGTTTCCTTTTCGGCAACGGCGGTCTCGTAGTCACGTAGTTTTTTCTCGAGAGTCTGAATAATTTGATTTTCCATTTGTGTTTGTTTATTCACTGCCTCGCCATCTTGAAGTGTATCGCACATTTTGAATTTATTATTAAAAAAAATGTTTTAACTCGTTGAAAATATATATACGTTTTTCTAAAACAAAAAAAAAAAAAAACAAAAAATAGCTTTTAAATATATAACCCTAGCAATCATTCATCGGTAAACAATGAATAATAAAATCAAACACGTATGACACATTTACAAATACAGAATAACTTATTGGATTTAGAAATAAAGACAACACATAGTTTTGATGGCGCATTTATTAAAACAGCAACCTATGACGCCCACACACACACACACATCTTGATACACGAACACAAATATATTCAAAATCAGCTTGACTTTGATAATCAATGAGATCTAATTGACATTTACTATTTATTCCGGAAAAAATCATAGAATTTGTCACATTTTGTTTTTTTTTTTTTTTTCACAAGATTCACAATATTACTCTAGTCCCGGTTATATATTATGGCTTTAAATTTTATGAATTAGTAAAAACCCAATAGGTATTTTATTTATTAACTAGTAAAACCGTACAATTCATATATTAACGAGTTAATTTAATTTATTTAGGAATTTTATAGAAAAACTAGTTATTTAATAATATAACGTGTTACATACATTACCGCTAATATATAATATGTTACTAATAATATTTTTGTATCATATTACTGAAACCTCGAAAAGCGACTCGTGGACTCCCCCCCGGTTAAATATTGTAACCCATTCGTACAACGTACACGCTTTATGATGAATACCGTCAATTACATATTGTACTCAAATTATTTAATTGTTAATTTATAAAATAAGGGAAGTTTTTGTGTACCTAACTATTGTTTTAAAATTTATGCTGACGGAAGCAAAACTAGTGAAATCAATACAAGGTTTTATTACTAATGTTTAGTAACAGTGATACGCATTTCTTGTTCTGGTAATTTGTGAAAAATCGTTTTTTATAATAAAGTATTTAAAACTATAGACTTCAAAATACTCTAAATGAGAACAAACTTAAAGCTTTTATGATTAAACTCATAGGAAAATATATACTTTTAATTTTAAACCATGATGAAGTTATTGATCATTTTAAAACTAAAAGAAATTTTTTTAACTTTGTAACTTTGTAAACGATTAACCAGATATCTGATGTTCATTAATCGTTATGTTATTTAAAAAATTAAATTAATAACTTTATTACTTTCTTGAACAGATAGTTCAAGCATTTATAAATGTTTAAGTAATAAACATTTTTTTATGTAAAATAAACGAAAAATGTAGAATAAGAAGTATTTTAGGTGGAGTTTTGTACTTATGAAAAGGTCTAAGGGTAAAGTTGAAGGTACACCTTATTCGAAAGAGTAAAGTATAATAACATTTTGCCACTTACAAAAATATACATAATATATACTTATAATAAATTGTTTATTTTATGAAAGTAAACAAATGTTTGTAGTTTAAACCTAAAAATTGCATGAACTTGGCCGTTATTCAACATCATTAACAACGATCGTGCGCCGGTATATTTATCATTTTCCGCACAGCAATGTTTTCCCGATTCGCCTCTGTACCCGCACACAGACAGTTGGATACAGCGCGTATATAGATAGAATTTAGTGAATAATTCATAATAATATGAGTACGTTTTCGAATAGTATATAATGAAGGCCAAATTTTTTACTGAAATATCAAACCAAAATATTATATAATTATATAGGTTTGATTATGTTTGATTAGGTTGATTAACTGAACACATTAAGTTACTAGGAAAAAGATATCCTTTACATATCTTGACCAAAAATGAAAAGACTAATTTTTGACATCAATGTAATGTAAATGATTTAAAATTGAAAATTGCATTTTGGTCCATAAGAAAAATTTAACAAAATTATTAATTTATATAAAAGAAATAAAATCATTAAAATGATATATGATGGTTCTGACAATTCATCGATATCATCCGCTATTTCAGATCATCGTAGAAGAGAAGAATATGCGGTATGCCAAAAATTCAATTCGTCATCACTAAAATTTGTTTCTGAACTTAAATCAGTTTATGTGGAAAAAGGTATAGTTTTAATTTTCCAATAATATCAATCAATTGTAATAGCGTTAACCATTATGCAATAGTATTATTTAATTTGTCTAACTACAGTTTTCTTCCTATTCAAATTGAATTATAATTTATAAAGTACCTTAAGATACTTATTTTGCCAACGGATCAAACGATTCTTAACGATTTTTCGTAATAAAATTTTTATTTTATTTTTCATTTTACATTCACACATTCTGAGCTATGCTGATACAATTTGTTTTTACTATTTAGAACAAATACGGATAGTATATCATCGTCATGTCAAATACTAAAAACAACACACTTGACTCAAACTATAAATTGGCTGTGACAAATACAAATGAAAAAAAAAAACAATTAGATTAAGTAAATAAATTTTATCAGGTCAAATATTTATTTCAACGACATATTTGTTTCTGGCATATAATATAATATGATTTCTACAATAGTTTATTTTAAAAATATTATCTACTTTATTTCTAATAGGTATATATATTTTTTTTTTTTGCGTAAAATTATTCGTATATTAATAATGAGTAGGAGGATTAGCTGTGTCACCGTGTAATATTGAATAGGACGAATTATTCTAGTAACCTAATTAAATAAATATAAAATAATGAATATTATTTCAATTTTATTGACATATAATAATATTTTAGATTCTGAGAAGAGCGATGAATGTATTAATTTTAAAATGATGCGTGTGTTTTTTTTTGCATCTGTCATTACCTTTTGGGGCAGTAAAAATTCTTAACATTTTTACAGCAGCACCTTTTCTGATAGGAAAGTGAATTATAGTTGGTTAATATAGTTGGTGCGTTAGAATGTTGATAAATGTATTGATTTTGAAATTGATCGAAATGTTGATAAAAAAGATCCAAGCTGGTCAGAAGATATTGAAAATTGAATTAAAGGTTCCCCATAAGTTGTACAATCGTTGGTCACAATTTTCTTTTATAAGCGTTTAAAGATATTATTCTTACGAAATTCGTAAAAATCGCGAAAATTTGCAAGTTATTTTGTAGTTAAACTACATACAATTTTAATTATTCATACCTAAAGTTTGAAAATTCAATGCAAGATTCTACATAAGTTTTTATTTACGTAATTAGAAAAAAAAAGTTGAGCGTAATATCATAAATATTTTTTATGAGCATCTAAAGTTTAAATTTCTACGAAATCAGTAATACATACGTAAAATACCGATTTCTCTTCATAAAATTTTAGAGTTTTATTATAATTCAAAAAGTATTTACCGTAGAAGCTTGAAACTTTTGCCATATGTTTGAATTGACATTTTATTTACATAATATAATTTTCAAAATATTTTTATGTTATTTATAGGTATCCGTATGTAGATAGTGTATTTGTTTTTTTAAAAATCTTGAAGTTAAAATGTTTGATTTCCGTCAACTTGTTGACGAGATACTCCACTTTTAAGTTTAAGTCTGGGGAGAGAAGTGAATTATCGCCATCATTTATATGGCAGCATGGCACGCGAAATTTTAATCTTGCACCAATTTACTCCAACTACTCTTCTTCTATATATGGAATTTTTATTATAAGTTGCCGTTTGAAAATCAAAAGTAAAAAGTGGTTTTACCCCTAAAAATAAGGGTGACAAAAATATAAATATAAAATTGTAGAGTAACTTGTTTCTTAATTATTCGAGAAAACAAATTCTAGAAAAAGTAAATACTTTTCGAGATAACAAATGTCTTACAATAGATAGATCACTCTGTATATACAGTATAATGACATTTTTCCAAGGAAATTCAGCAACTAAGTATGTTTTTTGACTGAATTACTAAGTGTTTTTTTATTGTATTTAATTATTAAAAATAAAAATTTTGCAGTTATTGAATTGAAAATGAACCCATAACTAGAAATGCAGTTTAAGAAAAATTTAAGAAATAAAATCCACATGTTTATTTATAGATAAATCTCTACAATGTAGCAAGTCCCATGGATCAATTAATGATGACTCTATTATGGAGATAAAATTCTCTCCTAATATTAAAGAAATCACTTCCGAAGAAGCTGTAAGAAATGGTAAATTGAAGTGTATGATAAATTCTAAAGAAAAACTTATTTTAAAGAAAACCGATAATTATTATTATCAAGTGCAAGGACAACTTAACATAACTCAGAAAAAGTTTTGTTACTTTGTTGTTTGGATTCCTAAAGGTACATATTATTACAATTTATAATTTAATTTAAAATATTTCATATATTTTGTAATAGGATAAAATATCTAACTATCTAAGGTAATTGAATTTTGGATAAATAAAATTTAACCACATTTGAGCACATTTTATATGGAATCCTTTTTTCCGGAAATAATTGATTCAAGATTCGATAGAACATTAGGTACTCATAAGCATAGGCGCAATTAGGAGGGAGAGCTTGGGATGTCTTAGCTCCCCGGTTTTTAAACGATTTTACTTGAAGCTCATGAAAATAATCGTGACCATTTAATTACAACTAACAAAATAATTGATTGATATTTATTTATAACACATCAATGTACTTATTACAGCTAATCAGTTATAATTTCCAATAGGTATCGTATTTATTTTTAGATTAAATGACAAAAAAAAAACCAATTATTGTGAAGGTTAATATTGTTTATAATCTATATTCTATATTAATCAATAATTTTATCGAAAGCAAAATTATAGTATAGTTGTATGGTAGACTTGTAGTCGTCTCTTTACTCTGTAGTCTATAAGCACATTATATATATTATTAATCGAAAGAGTTGTTTGCTTATTATTGTCATATTAACATTAATAACATTAATAATATCATTATCATTTATTAATTAATATTTATTTTTTACTTATATTTTTATTGTAAAGTGTAATAGTTGTTTTTTTTTTTACAATGAATAAAAGAAAAGTATTTGATATTTTTAAATTTCTTGAAGAAATTAAAAAAGAAGATTTCCCACACACAACATGGATATTCAAGAAATCAAACAGAAACCATTCGGGATAAATCCATTGATAAAACCTTTTTCACTTATATCCAGCTCGACATTTGCAAATAGTTTAGATACAGATCTTGGAGATGTAGACTCGGGTCCTATAAGACCTAAATTAAAGGTAAGTAAATATAAAACAGTTTAAACTGAATAAAGGGTCTAGGACACTTCGCCGAAATTATTTTGCCGACGAACCGTTTTGCTGATGACCGATTCGTCAATTGTTTCATCGCTAACCTTTTCGCCGACAGACTTTATTGTAAATTTTACTTAGTGGTCCAAAAAATAAATTTGGATGCCAGTGAATAAATGCCAATTAATTCTATTATATTATTGTTGTTCTTCAGTTATTCATATTATTAGGTTTTATTTTTATAGAGATAATTTCAAATTAAATTATAATTTATAACCAATGTTAAGATTTGTGGATTATAGACTTATTATAGATACCTACTAATATACTGAGTAATTTACTTATTGTAAATATACACGGATACATTTAGAACTAAAATCTAATCAATATTTAGTGATTAGTTTTGCTTTGATTTATAAATATTGTACTAGTCAACTTTTAACTATTTTAAAAAAAAATTAATGAGTATTGAGTAGTTATGGCTAGAAGTTCATTATAGAAAGTAACAGGTACCTTGGTAACTACGCAAATATGTTTACATATTTATTTATATTTATAATTTATAATTTAGGTACAAATGTATATACCTACATTTATTCGACTACATCAATTGCCAAAGATAGTAGAATAAAAAGCAGTTTTAAATATTAGATTTTTATTTACCCCTAAAATTATACTTATGATTAAATTAATAGAGTACATATAAAATAGAATATAGAAGGTTAACTACTAGGAAAAGCACCCGAAATGTTTTTTCACTTTTCCCTATTACCTACCTAACGTGGTTTTGCACAACAAATCGAGGGTTGTTTTTGATTAAAACCATCCGAGTGAGCGCAGCATCCGAATAACCCCACTAGGTCTCTAGGTGCACCCAAAATGCATGTTTTCAAAAAAAATTAAAAAACAGAGGGTATCCGGTAAAGTAGACTTATACCACTGTGGTGATGAGTGATAACAAACTTACGATGATAATAAAACTGTATCAATGGCTAGCTGTGATAACCGGCTCCGAAAATGAACTCACGTTGCTCCCGCGATCCTCTCGTCCCACTACCTGACACGATGACGACGCGGTGGGTAACGGGACACAAACTGAGCCGCACTCACACTAATAGCCATTTATAACTAACAAAGATCTCTAGCGGAGACGACGAGATTTGAAATTGCTTAAATACAACCCCTTAATAGATCACGGCTTTCAATTCATTACCTACATTACGATTGTGATGCCCTATCGAGTAATAACGTAGTAGTCTGTTAAATATAACTTTATTATTTTTATTCTTTAGAAATTAAAACCAATATTAATAAAAAATATTTATCAGATATTCTTTTTAGTTTGTAATGGCTGATCGTCAAGTACATAAATTTTTAGATGGTAATTTTGAAAACTATTTACATATGTTTACCCACCTCAGTGCATTATTACCAAGGACTTTAGAATAACATAGGATTTATTACCGGGGAGGTAAGGTTAACCAAGAATATATTTACTGAGGAATATGCCAATAATCTCGGATATATTTGCCTTCCATCAAATAATATTTACCGGAAGTAAAATATATCCTACAATATTTGTACCCCTCAGTAATTTTGCTGCGGGCATAAATATCCTAGAATATTTTTAGAGAAGGTTAATTGCTTCTAGGATATTATTGCCGCGGAAGGTAAATTTTATTGCGGATATAAAAATACTATGCTCCCAAGTCCAAAAGCATTTTAATACGAGTATTATTAATAATAGTTGTCAAAAAAATAATATATCGTTTGGTAAACGGAAAATGAGGTGTAATTATTTACGTATTTATTGCATGTACGTACCCCCGTGTCTCGTGCAGTATAGTTATGTGTAATATCGATGTCATGCTGTAAAATCCTTTTCCCGATTTGACCCGACCAGTGCGCATATAACCATACTACACATGAAATAAAACTCGATCGCTATTGATATTGCGTTTCGCCCGGTTTACAAGTGTGTATTTCAACAGATAAACTTATTGATACAATCTGTTGGCTCTCGTGGTATCTCAGTGGGTTTACGCGTTGTCTTTTATATTCTGAGTGGAGCGAAGAAGCTTACAGTTTTACAAAGATGTTTTTTTTTTTTTGTAGATAACTTTTCTATCAGAGAACTTGCTCCGATTTTTACGTGTTGCACCTTTTCTGAAAGGAAATCGATATGGGGAGGTACGTACTCTAAGTAGGTCATTTTTCGATTTTCTCAATAGTTTTCCCAGCAAATGTGAAAAACCGGGAAAAAGGTAGGAAAACTGGAAAAATCGGTATAACATTAAATAAATAATATTATTAAAGAAAATATATAAAGCGAATTCAATTATTTTACTATAATATGGCATATACATTGTGGATAAATCATCACTATCAACTGAACTCCACTAAGAATCGTTTGTTCGTTAGCAATTTTCTATCGTTGCTTACAGATATACATTAAATTCCCTTCTGTATCCTACCTTCCCAACTTCTCACTTACTACAGTGGTTGCACACGTCCTCATTAACCTAGGACAGCTTTTTTTTTCTTATTGTATTTTTGGTCTACTTTGGTTAGTCAGAAAGTCAATTTTTTTCCTGGAAATAATCATTCCTTACAGATATAAATTAAATACCTTTAAATATCCTGCCTTCTCAATTTCTAATCAACAACAATAACACACGGCAAGCCCGTCAGCAGTAATAGCTTTTTTTTTTTTTAGTTTCAGAGCGTAGCGGGAGATCTCTTGGTTTTACTATGATGAGTGCTTTTTTTAAAATTTATTTTCGTGTTTGTGAACAACTTTTTTAACTTATTTTTAAGTTATTCAAGTTAAAAAAGTTTAAATTTTTGAACAATTACCCTACCAGCACAATTTATAGTAATTAGAGAACTTGTTGAAATAGAATCAATTAAAAAATATCGCGTCCATAGACGAATACTTAGAGACAACATCAACCATTTGATTTGCCTACTTTTACTTTTAAAAAACTATATCGTTTAACAAAATATGTGGTCAGAAACATAATGGATGATTTAAGACCGATTTAGTAAAAGAGAAAAAAAACGTATTGCCACTCAAATTACAAGTAGATATAAATTACATGATTATTAAACTATTCTAGTATATGTATTAATTTTCCTTACTGAATTTGTCAAAATAGGTATTAATAACAATGCATTTTTTAGTTTAGTATCGTTTGCTGTTAACTAAATGTCATTCGCCGTTAGTAATGTGATGTATGACTGAGAGTGGCGGCGAACTCCTGTAATTCAGCTTCTTTGAAAGTCAATATGCAGCAATAGCCTGCACATAGATTATACAAAAAATGTGTAATAGACACAAAAACCCCGATGTCCTTGAACAATATATACCCAGTTCACTGTTAGAAGCCAGCCTTTGCAAGGAACGAGATCCTAATGCTGTTCCTGGAAAGCAGCTCCCAGACTTTCTAGCTCTAAACAATCACTGACTATACATCACGAGGATAGAATCGAAATAAAACAAATGAATTAGAATTTGGTGACTAATATTTCTACGACTAATTAATTTTATTTAGAGAATCGCTCTGCAGAAATATTGCTCCGATGTATAGAGTGCAGCACGTTTTCTGGAAGAAAATTGTATTTAGTTGACGCATTAGGAAGATCATTTTTTGATTTATTTCTAAGAGATTTTCATTATAATTGGAAACAATTAGGAAAAAAATTATTGGAAAACTAGCAAATATTTACAGCGTGCCACAACGTTACCGTTTTTATTGTTTTTAATTTTTGCATCCTATATTTTCTACCAGAAACATTACTTTAATAAAAAAAATGCCAAAAGACCTTTTTTTGTTAAATTTTGGTTTTAGATGCTCATGAAGAAAGTCATTTTTTAATTCAATTAAATTACGTTATGTATCCTACCTTCCTAACTTCCCACCTACAACAGTGACACACCAGTCCTCAGTACCAACTCTTTTTTTTTTAAATTGTATTTTTTCGCCAGTGGTTTTTTTAAATTGTATTTTTTCGCCAGTGGTTTTTTTTTTAATTTTTCTTTATTTAAACCCATCACGTATTTTCATCGATTAGGTATATCATATTTAGATTTGCAATTGGTACCCCTCCTCATGGAGCGATACGAGGTTTTGCACTCGACTTGTTTGTTGATACGTGTATATCATAATAAATATTATAATAAACGACAGGTTTTATTTCGTGTGTGGATTGGTTATATGCGCACCGGTGTACCATAAAACTGCACAAGCCCAATGACGGCATAAAAATCGTTTATTAATATAAAGCCGGGGCGTCGTAACAATATTATTATTATTATTATTATATCGGTGGAGTCGGACAGAATAAACGACCGGATTATTTATTTATTACCATATTATATAAACGAATACTGCATTATATTACAGGGGTGCAGCGTAAAGCTGGGTATACGCTTTTAGGTTTATTAAGAACCATTGATGTCGTGCAAATTATTTACGCGCCGCGTTGTCGTCAACATCGAATCGCGGGAATTTATAATTAAATAATTCACTCGTGAAACGTGCTTTAATTTCAGAATGCGTATATACTCGTATAATAATATACGCAGGTACCTACATCCTACTACGCGACCTACGATTTAACGGTCATTCATAAAATATTCCGTACGGATTTTGCCGACCTTTACAACCCGCCCTCCGCAAAGCCGATACCGCGTGTATAATAAACGTAAAAGATCGTGTAGGTGTGTCAAATACACATAGGTAGCGAAAAAAATGTCGATATAAAACCGTCACCGCTCGTCTTGCAGGGTTCATCATCAGAATCGGAATCATCACGGTTTTATATTACATAGGTTATTTTATGTTATTTAGGTAAATGTATTATTATTATTTATTATTGTACTAGTACTAACTTATACTTCTAAATAATAATTAAACTGAGTTTTCCTCGCGATCATAGGCGAAAATAAGAGCTCAGCCTCCTTCCCAAAACTAAACAAAGTCTTCGAAAAAAAAAATAGTTCAGCTATTTTCACTCATAATTATAAATACTATGGTTGCCCATCGACCAATAACAAGATCTACATGAAATGGCAATCGAATTACATCTTCTGAGTGACCTGAGTAACCTGGTTTCTAGACTGATAGTGCTTGATGCTTGTATAACAGTGTGAGAAAATATAGTGTTAAGAAAC